TGATAAGTATCCAGTTGTTCTCAAAAGATAATCATACGCAAAGGATGTTATATCAAAATATTTTGAAAAACATCAACGTCATGGTATACCACGAAGGAAAAAACAAATAATGAAAACTACCCTGTTGAAATTACTGAAACAAATAAGATACCTACCTTGAAGAGAAGTTTTCTGTGTTTATGAAATAGAGAAGACACTGAGCTATATAAACCAGGGGGGCTGGGTGACGGGAGCCATATGTCAGGGGGGAACGGAAGACCTGTGGTTTGTAAAGCCAGTGTCATTTTTAACTTTCCCATCATTATCACTAAGAATCCCAAAGCTGAAATCCCTCAAAAAGCATGGGAACCAAGTTACAAGACACCGCAACTAACTGGCAACAAGTATTCACAAAGATTTTCTTCTGAGTGAAACAATATAATTGGAAATGTATCATAGAATTTCACAATACATTTTAGGAAATTTTTTTAAAAGATATTTAAATTTTTGAAGAAAAATGAAATATATTTGACACGGTATTGACAACATCTTTATGTTTGAATACTATTGGGGTTTTATGCACTATTTCTGATTATCAATAGAATGATAATCAATTTTTATATTCCGTAAATATAATACTAGTATATAACCAGAGTGCCAAAAAAGGCAAAACTTAGGAAGATAAATCACTACATATAAATGTAGCATCTGATACAAGGATCACTCAGTGAAGAACACATCGGAAACAAACATGTGGACGTCTTATTTTTACAATAAAATGTTTTCTACTTGTGAAACTCGTATGACAATACACAGTGGGTTAAGTTATTTAAGAAATGGCGGTGATGATTAAGATATCCTGTGAAATTATCATGCCTCTAGATTGCATCCTGCTCTTAAAAAGGTTAAGAAAGATTCGCGCTCATTAATGAAATCTTTGTAAGACAGAGATGTCGCACTTGGTGATCGTGCTATACTTTCTTGAGTGTTTCCGGAAGCACTATACGGAATAACTATCGGGAACGACCGACTTGGCCGCTACTGGTTTTGTCTTCTGTAGACAAAAATGACAGATATTTTGACACTTTAAGAGAGACGCCATTTTAATAATTTTCACAGGCCTAGCGATTATCTGAATTTCTAACCAGGATTGATTATTAGGGAGGAATATCGGCGTTGTAATTGTGCATTTAGAGAATACGTCGTTGACTGCATTGGAGATAAGATGAAAAAGACACAAACTGCGTTTCGCCCAGATAATTTATGTCCCTAATATAGACAACACCATGTTTCCAATTTGTAATTAATTTGCATAATTTCATGCTTAACTTTCTATTGATAACTACCACTGAGTTGGTTAATAACTTTCCTCCTAGTGCTTCGTTATTGTGCTAAACAACACAGAAGTATGTACAGAAACTCTTTCTCTCTCTCATTGCAAGACACTCTTAAGACGCAGACAAACAACAGATGACCCTACAGATACATATGTTTTTGCGAGGATGACGGTTTATCGAATGACAAACAGACAGATATCTGCATCCTTTGCTATTTTCCCACACATCTTCACCGCTAGTGTCAACACATGACGAAGATCAGCCGACAAAAATGTGAAATTCATTTTCCATGCCTCTCTTCTTACGATGCCTGTTGATTTTCTATTACATGCCTCGCTTTCTTATCTTCATCAAATAATGTGAGAGTTACAAAGCAGGGTAATTATGGCGCGCAGACTCAGTACTTATTGAGGTGGCACCGATGTGTGGCACTGTCAAAATATACCACATCGTGTGAATTTCACATTGATTTATACAGACAGGCTAAATACAATGAGCTCTGAATATGAGACTGGTAACAATAAATTGGAGAATAGATAAAACAAAAATGATCTCAAGAAAACAATTGAAATATATTCCATTCTGTGTGTGTGTGTGTGTGAGAGAGAGAGAGAGAGTTTGCGATCAAAATTTTGAAGTCGAATTAAGTAAAAATGTTCGAATTTTATATGAGCGAATCTCTAATATCAAACCAAAAAAAAAAAATCTGATTTATGACATTCCGTGTCTGTGGGAAAACTTCATGTCTCCCTAATGTTGAAGAGAAAATCAATCACCTGTTGCCGGAATTTTATTCTTGTCCAACAAGATTTATCTACTACTTTGTCCATCTGTGACGTCATTACTTATGCTTGGCTCATCATTGGTTGTAATATTTCCGGATGAGCACACAATTGACCAATCAAGTGAAGAAGTTTTTTATATCTCTCCTTCCCCCTCCCTGTCCAGGGACACTCTTTATCCATCACACGTGATACCTGACATTGTTTTATCCTAAGCTGCGCTTTAACTAGGGAATAACTAAATAAGATTGAGTCAAGCGTATACGAAGACATGCCAATGCTTTATCAACACCGTTGTTTGTTTTCTGGAAATTCTTTTTTTTTATCACCAATAGGCCTATATTACATATTGTGTTGCTTCTCTTAATCCCTATGCAATGTTGTGTACATGAAATATGAGAAAAGTGTGTCAATTTGGTAACTAACTGTATAACATATACCATTATTTAGATAAGCTGCCGTACTAGAAATTGTTGTCAGTAAATTGTTTCTAATTCTTTTCTTGTCATCACACGGATGACATATCGCTCTTCATTAATAAAAAATATTGAAAGGGTAAAGTATACTAATTTGGAAAATGACTCAATCTAAATTTGAATATTTCCTCCTGATTTTAGCCTTCTTTTGACCATAAAATATAGAAAAGTTTCACAGAGAGCGGAAAGATCATTTATTTATCGGACAGCAAAGCGATGCTGTCGGTATTCCATTGTAATGACCGCATGTGCCTTATTTGCAATCCTTTACTCACTTCATTACACCCCAATTCAAAGAGAGGACAAGATAAATTGAAGGAATCTGTAACAAACGGATTTCTATTAATCATATGACAGCTCGGATTTTAGTCGCCTCCTCGCAATTCACGGAAAACTATCATTTCCCGAGTCCAGCTCGTCCGAATGTCTCCTAGGGACCCTAAAGAACCGACAAATCTATTTAATATCACTTAATGAAAAAGTCAAAAGAAATTTGTCTCCGATATTTGCTTCATTTTGTATCTTCGAGCGAGAGATAAATTGGCTCGTTGTCAGAATGTGAGAGGAGAATGTTTCGAGACAGTTTCTTTGACCTTAAGTTTGTGGAAGAATTTTAGGTGACATCGATTTGAAATACCAAGGATGATTCATGGAGTTGTTTAGCTTGAGAACAGACAGTCATTTAACTATTACATAAGATGAAGCATTCATACACATAAAAACTTAGAAAACGTGTTGTTTTTACAACGCAAACTTACAGAGAGTGTAGAATAGTTGGCTATCTCTTCGGAACCTATAGAAATCTTTGATAAACTGTAAACGATTCCGTCCGAGAGATCCATCATACCGAGTATCATGTCAAAAGAGGGAGGCTTACACATCAAACACTTAATAAACCGAGACAATAAACAGTTGTCGTAGCGAAATCAATACCTTAATAGACCTTAATTAAATTTGATAACAAAGCTATTTATTCAATAAAGATCGGCTAATATCAATTCCGCTTGTGTGCGAGTGAAAAAGACGCGGCTCAGGAGGCGCTCCGATCTGATGCCACCTTGATTGCATTATCAATATCTCAGATTCATCTTTAATGAAAACTTCATGTAAATTTTTTTCAAATAGATTTTTCTGCAAAGATCTTCATTGACACCATAGAATCTCGTCATAATAGGGCATAAGAATCGGAGAATTGAACAGGAAACAATATACACGGAATTGAGATTGATATCTCGTTTCCACGTGCGCCCGGTGAGCTCAAGATGCATGGCCGTTCAAGTACATGTTTTTTGGTGACTAGTCTTCGCTAGCTCTACACCAGAAAATTTGAAACTGTTTTCTGTTACATTGAAGTGATAGTATTAAAGTAGGTATCAAGTAGGCTCTTTTATCAAGTGCTCAACACACTAATGAAATGGGAAAATTGAAACTAATGATTAACAGTTAAAAATAAATCACAGATATTCGTGTTCGCTAACATGTTGTAAGACTTTTTCTCGTCAAAATATATCGGAAACAATTTTAATCTTTCTATGTGATTTCATAACTTTACTAAATTCTTATTCTGACTCTGGTGTGAGATACTAGGATGTCGTCTGGTTTTTTGTCCTCTTGAATTACCAAAACCATTTTTTATGACACAGATCCCAACATAATGTGTGGTTCTTTTGTCTCAAAACGCGTGTCCCGGAGACTAACAGTACACAGTATTGCGAATGTGAGAAACTAAAACCCAAAGTGATTCCGTGATGCACAAATTTGTGACAATCCGAGATTGTTTAGATTGCCAGTGACAAACAAGATAAAAACTTCTCAAATATCTACCCTACTCTAAAGAATCGACAAGCAAACAAAGCGAACACGCCTTATCTTAATTTGAGGGTTATCAAATCAAACACGGCACACAAACAGTGTTTAATTTGATGAAATTTATGATGCACCGCACTTATCTACATAACCTTGATGCAATGGCTGATATAAACGCCCCTCAGATGTAGAAATGTATATACAGAGTTATATAACACGCTCGTATTTGTGACTTGTGTTTGACGTAGCTTTATCTGTTAATGCATTTTGTGTTATAAATAGCCATAACTTTGTCCATATCAATTTCAAACAATGACAATTCTGCTATCATTCCCAGCTTAAGCGACATAATTGAATACAATGAGTATCCATGTCTTGGAGATAGAGATTTGGATAAGAATGTCTGTGTATTCAGCATAGAAAGATAGGCGATTTAATCACTTTTTTATTCTAAAATTGGTATTAAAACTTGAATACAGATTCATTAAAGGACTTTAAGAAAAATGAAATACTTAGACCTGTCTCTGTTTAGTGATTAACCCCCTATTAAATTGATTCCAGCATTTGTTCTCCTACAATTCACACCTAAAAATGTATACATGTATTTATATATCTCATACCTTCCAGGAATACAACGGGTTGTTAAGCGTTGATTTGAAGGTTCCAATGAACGGTCCCATCTTCTCTCCTTTCTGTATGGACTGTTTGGTCCAAACCCCAAGTCCAGGAAAAACATGGGACTCTAACAACTCAAACTGGTCAGGGATGTGAATATCTTCCGGGATGTAGACAGGTAAATATTCGGATTTTATTTCACCGGAAGCGGATGCTGGATTCATTTCATCATGCGCATCCTCAACTGTTTCGTATTCTTCATCAGTCCCATCTTTGAAATAAAAAGACGATTTACAAAGTTCAGAAAGTGATATCAAATTTATAACTTTTTTATATTTATTGTCTGCCAAGGATATTTTTTCAATAAAAAATAAGACCACTTAGAAAAGACATGATACAACGGGTTTATATTAGTGTAACATAAATCAGGAGAATAAGATGATTTCCCACGAGATCAAAAAAAGCTGAGCTTCTTTCAACAGAACTGGCAATTTACTGACATAAGAATAGGAGACTTCTTATTCAGCCTAAATTGTACAGGTGTTATAAAACACCTGTTAATTTAACTTTTAATAACTCTGTAGTGCTTTAGTTTGAATTGTGGATCCGCAAGACATTAACGAAATGTTTTTTTTTTCTTTCCTGCACAATTGACTTTTGAAATTGTCATCATGGCTTTTTTAAATGAAAATACTATTTTTTATAAGTTCACGGTGAAGTTACTTTGGAAGTAAAACTTTAATACAGACAAGGAACCTATTCGTAAAAAGGAAGTACATGTACAATGTATATTCAAGACTTCAAAATAATAAATCAATAAGATATTTAAAAGAATCTTTATGTAAGGAACAGAATGTATTCCATATTTCTAACCAAAATATTTACAAAGAGTTCCCCGAATATTCTTGTATACAATCGTTGATTCTCTTCGATGAAAATGGCTAAAGTGACTAACGTGAGATTTGTTATATTTAATAATCCAAGACGGTGAAGATAAATAATAGAGACGTTGTCAATATTTTCGTTTGATTTTCCAGTTTCTTCCGTGGGTAAGATTTATTATAATAACCGAAATGGAAATGAGTTCTTGTGAACATTATAATAATTTCAGTTTTGAAAAAAAGATGCAGTGTCAATAAGGAAAGACAAAAGGCATAAACTGTAATTACTTGAAACGACGCCGCGGCTATAGAAAGCCTAATAGATTACCGTGACTTAGCGGGAATCAGCCCAGTCATGTCCTGACAATAGTTTGAACGCAGACAATAGAAAAACAGTTTGTAGCAACCTTACTGAGGATGCAAGTCGCGCCTTATCTGATGAAATTAAAAACCAAGCAAACGTTTTTATTAATCTAAATCGTTTACTTTTCACAAAACGAACAACTTAAGAGACAATTTAATAGCTACCAATCGATGTAATTATGGTGTAATTATAAGCTAATTTAAGGAAAAATCACCGAGACCTCTCTTTTCCCAGCAACAGTGATAACAATGATGATTTGGGTGAAAATAAAAGCCACGGACGGAATTGAAAAGCCGGAGTTTGGGATTATCATCTGGTTTGATGAGTGGAGAGGATGTAGAGACTACGGAAGGATTAGAAAATGGGCCCTGCGTCAGGATGTGCGCTGCGGAGAAAACCGTAATCGGAGACCTTAAATATCCCGGCGCTGTCGCATTCGATTGCAACGTCCAGAATACACCGCGTTATCAGTGGCCAACCATCATACCTTAGAATTGATCTTTTAATTAAATACAGAATTTCGATGATATTTCTTGTTTTATTTTATCATTAAGACGCTGTACACGAACTAGATAATAGGCTCGAATATTTCATTGTCAGAATTAAACACTTTTTGGATTCATAAAAAAGGAAGAGGGATACTAATTTGATATCAACTAAATGTTTGTAATGGTTTCCATAAAACTTGCAGTATTTAATGTAAGATCTAGATTACAAAGATTAGCACTCTTACTGGCTTTTATTAAATCGCCTCTTATTTATTGATTTGTGGAAAAAGTATACCTCGTTATGAGTGGGTTAAACACACATTTTCAAAGAGATTTATGCATCTTCAAAAAAAAAGTTTTCTACCATTATTATTATTATTAATATTACTAACTATCTGTCGCATATTTAAAAAAAAAAGTACTTTAAATCTGTTAATATCTTTCACTTTAATATGCAATGAAATGAAATAAAAACACGACACTTTAATTTTACTCAACGCTTGAAAACACAATCAAGAAAAATATATATACTAGTAATTTATAAAACATTTGAATTTTATGTACTAGTATTATCCAATTCGAATACAAAACTGTTCGTTGAATTTTATACAGCGAATTTTAAGGGCTTTCAGTCTATTTTTTTTAATTCAATTTAACCAAAACTAAGAGGAGCTGCATTCCGTTGCTAATTTGTAAATCCATTTGTTTGATTCATTAGTACATAGTGTCCGCTTTTACCGCTACAATAACGAAGACTAATGAAAACTTTTAGTGTCTCTTATAGAATATGTCCATTTTCTACACGATTTCTCAAACTCTCTGAAAAACTTATTCAAGCGCACTGACAACCTTGATAAAATAGAGAAATCTAATTTCGAAAGTGACATCGAAATGAAAATGACGTCGTGGTTTCCGGTCGAGAATTCATCGTCGGATACAGAGCGACGAGGCAATTTAATTCGGAAAATAATGAAATCTTTGAGAGACAATCATAGTACGCATTGACAACGTCTGCCTATCGGCGAGCCTGGTGAGCTCTTCAGGTTGACGACTAAATCTTCAGCTCTAATTGTCCATGAAGTCCTTACACCAGTGATAAAAAATGTAGCCATATTGATTAGATAGCAATCTGCGTTATGAAGTTATCAAATTCAATTGCATCATTATGCCAATATAATTTGCTAAACCATAAACCACTGAAAAAAAAAACAACATCTGCGACACGTCAATAAAAGTAAATGAAATTGTAACTAGTATATTTGGAAGATTTTTTATCGCATTCACCGCTCGAGCAACTTACATAGAGTGCTTGTAAAAGCCCATTTAAGTTTCTTTTCTCCTTATTTGAAAAATTATTGATACAGTTAGCGAAGATAAGTAATATAGCAGCAAACAGTCCAGATGTCCTGATAAAATCTATTTGAATACTCAATATTTCATATCTAAATATCTATAAAGATAATTTTTAATATCCACAAATTAATGGCTCATATCTCATAATTAGGACACCCCATTTTTCTTGGTACGTGGAGAATTCCAATCCTCAACCATGGCGGAATCTACATCACGTAATTTATTGTATTTCATAGCATCAAAAGAAATGGATTGGAGTGATTAAATGGAGTGCGAGATTCCTTTTATCTTTTTAACAATCTTAAATTAAATCTAAATATTGGAATGATTCATACACTCTCTGGGGGTGTGGAAAATGGAAAAGCTTTAAAAGAACTGAATGATCCAGATGAATCTTTCTGTCGCAAACTATCTCAGGTAAACTGTGATGTGGAAAAATACAAGCCAAAATTGTGTAGGGGCGGTAGAATAAAAAAATGATCAGAGGATTTTACGACTGAAAATATTGTAAAAAATTTTTTTTTTTTGGAATTAAGAAAGCTTCTTGCTTATTATCTGCTTTAAGTATTTGATATTGAAATCTCAGATGACATTCTGATGATACGAGGATGATCTTGGGTGGTATGTTGCTCTAGCGTGAAAAGTCCGGCCCGGACCACCTACCCCAGATTCCAATGAAGTTCTTAGAGCTGGTAAATATCTCAAGACCTTGATTGAACTGACCACAATCTTTCTACAGTTTGAATGATTGTTTACAGCCAAAACAAAAAAAACAAAAAACAAACAAAAACAAACAAACAAACAATAGTATAAATCATGAACCTAATAAAGCACATTTTCATCTTAAAGTCAATACTTGAGAGATGTCAATTTATTTATTTATTTTGCTACCTACTTAAACAGATAGATCTGACAAACTACACCCACAATTAAGGCCTTAAGTAGTATTTTTTTAAGTTATTTTTGCAAATGTTACTAGTACGTATACATATCATATTTTCTCGGATACGTCCTCAAAAACTGCATTAAATTTTGGAAGAGTTGGGTGAAAATCGCTACAGTTTAATGAAGATTTTATTACAGTCATGACGAGATTTGGGAAAGGGGTGTATAAGGCAGGGGATGTACATACTTTCATATACTAACATTTAATCGTTGCAAAGTACAATAGGAAAGTCGAATTATAACTTTCACAATCATGATATTCAGCATTGATCTGAGAAATTCTTTTGACAAAACTATTTGCGATTGGTCACAGTGAATGGAGTGTTTTATGATATAGGTTAATTATGATGAGAAAACAGGGGGTGTTATTATACACATTACACAACCCTCCACTCGTTTCTGTGCTCTTTTGATCTCATTATAAAAAGAGAATTCAATTATTGTATCTTTGTAAAGAGAATTTAAACACTAAAGTCCACAAATTATTTGTCATTAAAAACGATTTGGAGAAAAATGTCACTTTAACATATCACTTTCATGTCAGCTGAGTTTGATATGATAAAGCACTGTCTCGTGTTAGTCGAATTATTTCATGTCGTCACAGATATGTGTCTACTCATAAGTTCCAATTGTCGTAATTGCAATAAAGGCATAAATTTCTCTTTTATGGAGTTTAACAGAACTTTGTAATACTTCATATTAGAAATGTTTTTTTTTTCTGATGAGTAATTGCTCTCCGTAAGAGTTTTCCCTTAAAACTTTTAAAAAGTGGTTTGTGGATAGACTTAGAGGATGAACAGATGGGAGACGAATTGCATCAACAGTCACAGAGCTCAAAGATCAATTTCAAACAAAAATCAGTGGGCACTTCCGGCAGATCTCGATACTTTTAATAACCAAGTCCGCCAAACAAACAAAACCACGCGCGGAGTTTGACAGTCGCGCTAATTTGGTTAACTCCAGAGATAAGATACCTTAGCGTATCACTCGATGGACACCAATTAACAATTTAATATATCTTTTTATCCTTAAGTGTGTCAACAGAGACCGACTGTCCGTGTTGACTTTGAGTTTCAGGTACTGCAGGGAAGAGCTGGATAAACCTAATTACCGTCAGGTACCCGTCTGACCGCGCGTGCCAGTAACTCGCATTCCAGGGACGAAATCTGCAACTAAGACGAAAGGAAACTGCACTTGAAGATAATTTTAAGGCGAAGGAGAACGCAAAATTAATTTACCA